ATATCTTGCTGTTGCTCTTTTCCTGTATCTCCTTTCCTATGGACTGATTTTAGACCTGCCAAGGAGAAACTAGAATCACTGGACTCTCAGTGTCAATGACAGACATGCATGCCCCATACCACTGAAATGGTGGGCCTGATGAAGCAGCCGGTACTGACTACTCTGATTAAAGCCCTGTCTTGTTATTTATGGATAAAAACACGTGTTAACTATAAGACTCTCATTTTGAGAGTCTATTTATTGTTATTTTATGTATAAGGGTGTTTTATTTGCATGTCCGTCTGTGCACTATGTGCATGTGGTACCTGTGGAGGCCAGAGAGATCACTGGATCTCCTGCTATTTACTGTAGTTATGGTTGTGAACCACTGAGTGGGTTCTGGGAACTTGACCTGGGTCTTCTGGAAGAGCAGCCAGTGATCTGGACCACTGAGTGCTTTCTCCTGCCCTATATGAGAATTCTTAGCATATGACGAAGCTACAGTACTGCCCACTGGTTAGGAGCATGTTCTGCTCTTCCAGAGGACCTAAGTTGAGTTCCCAGAGCACATGTTGGGCAGCTCACAAATGCTCATAACTCCAATTCTAGGGGATCTGAGGCCTCTAGCCTCCACGGGTACTGCACATACATGTATTTACATGCATTAACACATGTGTATGTGCATGTGTGTGCACATAGAACTAAAAACAATGAAATTAGTATTTTAAGATTTGAGGTATCTAAGGAGAGTTGAGAGCATTTCATGTAGGCTGGTCCTTCTGCAGATAGAAGTCTAGGCCCAGCCACACATTATCACCTTGCTGATAATAGGCTAAAGCCATCTTCACATGCTGTCACTCTGTCAGCTCAGGTGGGTCCCACTGTCAGAGACAGAGTTTCACGGCAACTTGAGTCTTACTTTCCCCCCCTCTTCTCAGAGCAGTTCTCAACCTTCCTAATGCTGAGACTCTTTAATACAGTTTCTCATGTTGTGGTGACCCCAACCATAAAATTATTTTCATTGCTACTACATAACTGTAATGTTGTTACTGTTAGGAGCCATAATGTAACATCCATGTTTTCTGATGGTCTTAGGCAACCCCTGTGAACGAAAGGGTCATGACTCACAGTTGAGATCCACTGCGGGGTACCATGGATTGGGCACCCAGTCTTTATGTTTCTGGTTAGTATGAAGGTCTTCCTGCTTCCATGTTTGGAATCAAGGAGGAGGGAGCCAGAAGAAGGTCCGTGTACCTTCTGGGAGACATGGATTGACTGCCAGCTTGAGGGCAGGTTTAGTGAACAGTATCAGTGACTGCTGACTTCTTTTTCTCATATAAAATGCACAAATTCGGATATAGAGGAGGCAGAGGCATTGTGCATGGGTTTTTTTTTTCACTAATTCCAAATATTGTAACGGACTCATTGCATTTTGCGTATGATTCTTAAGAACAGACTGTCTGTTATGATGAAATAATAGAGCATGCTTTGGGGACAAACACCAAAGTCAAGGCAAACTGTATGTAAAGATTTTTGTAAATATGGTTAATTTCATCTAGAACAATCTGAGGGAGCTGTGGGCCCACTTATCTGATTAAGTTTCCCAAAGTCTTATGAAATGCATTTAAACCTCACAGCTTTGCAGGCCACACGTCAACTCCCCTCTGTCCTCAAGCTTCTGGTCTACGCTGCTCCCTTTCCTCAGTTTCCCTTGAGTCTCACTTAATTGAAGAGTGTTTTGGGATGTCTTGGCGCCTCAGCGCCTGGGGAGAGGCCTGCAACAGGCCCCTCCTCCTCTGAATCTCACTTCCTGCCTCATGGAAGTCCTTTGCTAGGCAGAAGGAGAAGAACTGACCACAAAGGTCTTTCCTTTGTCTTTTCTCATTCTTGCCCTAACGCATTGTGCTGGCCGTTTTTTGGGTCAAAAGATGGAAAGTGGAGACCTTGTGTAAGTTTTCTCCCCAGCGAGACTGATTTATCTCAAGTTAACCCCTGTCCCTGAGTCATGCACAGATTAAGCAAGAGACTTTCGATTTTCCTCACCTCCACAAAGAGTCTTTAATTCTTATTCTTGGAAAGGCAAGACTGACTCTGGGATTCTTTGTCGGAGGCATGGTTGAGGCCTCAGTGAAAAGCCATGTTTGATCCTCTAGCCAGAAGAGGACCCTCCTGCAGGAAAAGGGTATGGTGGGAGCTACTTACTGGGGCAGGCTTATTATATTTTGCCCAGGAAGGCGAGCTTTCTGTCCACCTTAAAGATATTCCTACAATCAAAATTTCTACTTGATATAGTAATGAGATGAAAATAGCTTTGGGGGACAAGGAGACTTGCTTTTCAATCCCAGTCCTTATGAGTTGTGTCTTGTGTAAGTCACCCTACGTGTCTAAGTCTGGGAGGCATCATAAGAATGCAATCATAAATCTGAGCAACACTTACGCTTAGGGCAGGGCCAAGATGAAGCTGATTCTACTGACACTGGTGTTTTCCTCCTCCTCTGCTCCTCCCCATCTCCCCTCTGCTCGCCCCACCTCCTCTCCACCTCCTCCTCTGCTCCTCCCCACCCCTTCTCTGATCCTCTGTTCTCTTTTTATTCTTTATTCCTAAGAGAAAAGCTCTCCTTTATCTCGTGGATAACTTGTCATGAGTTTCTGTTTGTGCTTCAGAATCTTAAGGAAAACAAAAGAAATGAGAAACAAAACCACAGCTTTAATTCCTGAAAAAAAGTATAATTCTAGACATGAATCAAGTCAATCTTCATCCAAATATGACTTCCCACAATTTAGCTGAGACTTGTGCTTTGTACTACCCTCCTTTGGGGGAAGAGAATATGATGGTCTTGTCCCAACAGTTACCTGAAGAGTGGGTAGATTAGTAGTTGGTGACTGTGGTTGAGAGTGGGTATACAGTGATAGTGGTTAAGAGTGGGTAGATAGTAGACAGTGACGGTGGTAGAGAATGGGAATACAGTGGTGATGGTGGAGTGGGTAGACTGTGATGATGGTTGAGGGTGGGCAGATAGTAATGGTGGTTGAGAGTGGGTGTGTGGTGATGGTGGAGTGGGTAGACTGTGATGGTCGTTGAGGGTGGGCAGATAGTAATGGTCATTGGGAGTGGGTGGATGGTGATGGTGGTTTCAGAAATTCCTGTGCCTCTAATAACTGGTGTGGTCTTTCTGTGTTCTTGCTTCCTGGACTCAACAGAACTTCTGGTTCATTCTCTGTGTCTCACAGGAAACACTTGTTTACGAGCTATGTGGGAATTCCTTTTGCTTGAGTCTTTACTTTGTAAAGAAACTTGACCTCCAAAAGATGGTCCCTGGATGTCTGTCACTCAGCTGTATTTCCTAACTGGTGGGGTTCTTTTTTACCCTTCTTGATAAGGAACCATTGACTATAGGGATATTCTGCAAAGGAGAAATCACTGTCTTTACTTGTAGAGTCTCTGTTGAGTCCAGCAAGTGCCAGTGGATAGCTTCCAATCTAGATTCACACAGATCCTCCTGTTAATCTCAGTGGGTCACAAAACAAAACGGACAGACAAGAACATGAGAGCGAGATTTGTAGGGGATGGAGAGGTTGGACAAGGATGGTAGGCATACAGGGATGAGAATGTATAGTATGAATGGCATATATTATATATATATACATATATATATGCTAAATTGTTAAAAATAAATTATCTAATGATACTCTGTCCTTCGGTACAAAAAGAATCCAAGAAAATGATAGGATTTTACTTTTGGCGATCCTCATATTACATGAAAAAGGTCTTCTCCTCTGCAGTTAACACTATTTACAGAATCAGTTCACTCCATACATAAGTGTTCATTACTTAACTAGTAAGTTGATTAACAGTTAATCAAAGAGGAGATCATTCCAGCTGACTTAATCACATTAGCAGTTTGCAACTGGATCTAGATTTCAGAGAGAGGAAGCCACAGATCTGAAGTACAAGAGAGATTTCTCTTGCTCCTTTTAAGGTAGAAGGGCCATGGGATAAGGAAGGTAGGAGGTCTCTGGGAGCTGAGAGCTGTCCTCACTGGTAGGACTGAGGATACTAGGAGCTCAGTCTAGAGTCTCAGGAAACTAATTTTGGCCAATGATCTGAGTGGTCTTGAAAGTGAATTCTTCTCTAAAGCATCTGGCAAGACATTGTCCTGGCTGGTTTTGTGTCAACTTAACACAAGTTAGAGTTACCTGGAAGGAGGGAACTTTAGTTGAGAAAATGTTTCCATAAGATCAGGATGTGCGTAAGCCTATAGGGCATTTTCTTAATTAGTGATCAACAGGGAAGGCTCCAGCTCATTGTGGGTGGGGCCATCCATGGGCTAGTCATCCTGGGTTCTATAAGAAGACAGCCTGAACAAGCCATGGGGAGCAAGCCAGTAAGCAGCACCTCTCCACGGCCTCTGCATCAGCTCCTGCCTCCTGGTTCCTGTCCTGTTTGAGTTCCTGTCTTGACTTCCTTTGTTGATAAATGCTGATGTGGAAGTGTAAACCAAATAAACCCTTTCCTTACCAGCTTGCCTGTGGCCATGGTGTTTATCACAGCAATAGTAACCCTAATAGGATGGAAATTGGTACAAGCATAGTGAGTTTTTGCTGTGACAGACCTGACCATGTTTTTTGGAGGATTGTGGAAGGACTTTGGAACTTTGAACTAGAAAAGTCTGAGTGTTGAGAACTCAGTGGGCTGTTCTGTAGGAGCTCAGAAGATAAGAATGATGGGAGCAGTGCAGAGGATGGAGGACTGCCTCGTGAAGTTTCAGGGGGGAAGTTTAAAGACCATTAGGACCATTTGCAATTTTGAGTTGAGTCTGTCATTCTTGTCAGCTGGGGCTGTAGAAGCATCCATGATTAACAACAAACCCACACTGTTGAAGAGCTTTGTGTTTCTGGGTTAATTGAAGCTGGTTAGCTGCAGCTAAGAAGTTGGCGGTGATTAAGAAGAGACCACATCATTGAGGTGAAATCTTCTGAGAAGTGTTTCTTCAGAGTCAGCACCCCGAAACTGTGTGCTGGAGGCAGCCAATGTTGTACCTCGTGCTGGCAGCTGAACTTTGTAGTGTAAGAGTCACCCAGGTGGTAGTGGTTTTGAAGGCATGAAGGGGTCATGGAGAGCAGCTGAGGCTTAGCAGTGTGAGAGGCCAGAGGAAGACATTAGTGAAGGTAGAGTAGCCATTGAAGGTTCAGGATTAAAAGGTTCACACAGAGAATTCAAGGCTTGGCACAATTTAGAGAGCCCAGGAGAAGCTATTGGTGAAGGTGCAGCCCCGTTGCAGCAAGAGATCCAAGCATTTCGGAGATGACAGTATGGTGGGATGACCACCCCCTGCAGGAGCAGTGGTGGACGGGAACCTGCCTAATCTTAGTAGACACGCTGTGTGAGCTGCAGAGGACACAGCTGGAGAAACCCAAGCACCCTGGAGGAGCCCAGAAGATCGTGAGCGAATCCCGTATGTTAGACACTGAGTATTTGCACTGTTGGGGTTTGGTTTTGCTTGGTTCGGTTTGTGACTGTGCCCTGGTTCTTCCCTCTTGAAGTAAGAAAGTATTTAAGTCATTTTTGATTTTACAGAAGCCCACAGTTGAGAAACTTTCATCAAGAGAAAGAGAGAGAGTGAGAGAGAGAGAGAGAAAGAGAGAGAGACAGAGAGGGAGGGAGGGAGGGAGGGAGGGAGGGAGGGAGGGAGAGAGAGAGAGAGAATTTTATGGAGAATTTGGATTTCAAAAGGGACAGGATGTTTTTAAAGAGACAACTTTTAAAGTGTTGAATTTGTAAGGCTGTGGATTTTTTTTGAGACAGGGTTTCCCTGTGTACCTTTGGAGGCTGTCCTGGAACTAGCTCTTGTAGACCAGGCTTGTCTCAAACTCACAGAGATCCACCTGCCTCTGCCTCCCGAGTGCTGGTATTAAAGATGTGCGCCACCACCACCCGGAGGCTGTGGCACTTTTTAAGTTTGTAAAATGTTCTGTATGTCTTTATTAATGTGTGATCTTGGGAATGAATAAGAAAGAAAAAAGTTGTGGCTTAACAGTGATGTGTTTGTATGTAAAGTTGACAAGGGGCCTGCTGTCCTGACTAGCTTTATGTTGACTTGGCACAAGCTAGAGTCATCAGAGAGGTGGGAGCCTCAATTGAGAAAATACCTCTTTAAGATTGGGGTAGGCAAGCCTGTGGGGCATTTTCTTAGTGATTGAAGTGGGTGGTACCATCCCTGGACTGGTAGTTCTGGGTTCTACGACAAAGCAGGCTGAGCAAGCCATGAGTGCAAGCCAGTAAGCTGCTCTGTGACCTTTGCATCAGCCAGCTCCTGTCCCCAGGTTCCTGGCCTGCTTGAGTTCCTGCCCAAACTTCCTTTAGCAATGAACAGTGATGTGCAAGCGTAAACTGAATACGCCCTTCCCCCCAGCATGATTTTGATGGAGGTGTTTCATCACAGAAGAAGTGACTGTAACCAGGACAGATAGACAGCTTTGCTGACCCATTGACTCTCACTCTTTTCAGATTCCCGGTAGAGTTCCCAGGTAGGCGGCTCCTGGACTTTTGACCCACATCACTGCGAGCTGATAAGTGAGTGATTTTCTTTTAAGTCACAACAATTTGTTATGCTTGCTAGAAAAAGAATTCAACAGAGCATATGCAGTCTTATTTATTTGTTTTATCTGTGTACCCCATACCTTGTTTCTATGGGAAACACACTACTTTAGTGCTGACAGTTTATCTGGATGTGTACTCATTTATCAGAACCTTGGATTTAATTACCACCAGACATGTTTGAAGATCATATGCTTACTTATGATGTCTGCATGTATTTTTCAATGCTGAGGATGCTAGGGCTTCATAAATACTAGGCTAGTGTTCTACCTCTGAGCTACACCCCTACCTCTATAGCTTCAGGGACAAGCATTTGAGTTCAGTGGCTATCATAAGCACACACACACACACACACACACACACACACACACACACACACACACATGACTGAGTATGCCAGAGGAATGTGTTCCTCATTCCTTGGGGAGACCAGCCAGACTCCAGATGTTCTCTGGTCTTTAGAACATTAAACATCTTCCTTAGGAGTTCTGAGTGCCTCCTAAATGCTTCAGGCAAGTTATACAGGGACACATGTATGGGAAAGGAAGGGTTATACAGGGACACATGTATGGGAAAGGAAGGGTGAGTGTCTTGACTCTTTCTGGCCCAAACATCTATAGCAAACTTCAATGTCTTCTTATAGATGCTTTGGTGGTTTGACTAGGAATGGTCCCCATAGGCTCATATAGTTGGATGCTTAGTCACCAGGGAGTGAAACTGTTTGAAAGGGTTGGAAAAATTAGGGGGTGTGGCCTTACTGGAGGAAGTATGTCACTGGGGGTGGGCTTGGAGGTTTCAGAAGCCCAGCCAGGATTAGTATTTCTCTCTGTGCCTATGGGTCATGATGTAGCTCTCAGTCAGCTACTCCTCCAGCAGCTGCTGGTATACCACCATGCTTCCTGTCATTATGAAAATAGAGTAAATCTCTGAAACGGTATGCAAGCCCCCAATTAAATGTTTTATTTCATAAGAACTGCCTTGGTCATGGTGTCTCTTTGCAGCAATAGAACAGTGACAAAGAGAGATAACCTTGATTTTATTTCTGTTTTTCCTAAATCCTCTGGCTTGGAGATAATAGTCCCCCTATGGCCAGGATGGATATGTGCAGACCATGAGGAAGACTATGGTTAGTTTGTCCTTAATTTCCTGGATGGTCCTAGCTAGTGATTCTTCATAGCCCAAATCAGTCCCTGGTGAGGGCAGGATGTTCTGGGAGCATCAAAGCAGTGATTCTCAAACTCTAGCTGCATCCAGATCACTGGAAGGATTATCACAACAAAAAGCATGGGGACTGGGAGCTGAGACAATGGTTCAGATGGTGAAACACTTTCACGGAAAGAAAGAGGACTTGAGTTTGATCCCAGTGTCCATGTAAAACTCCAGGAGCAATGGCTTATTTTCATAATCTCAGGGCTGGGGACATGGAGACGGGTGGATCCTTGAGGCTTGCTGGCCTTAGCTGTGTCAGTTACTTTTCTGTTGTGACCATAAAACACCAGGACCGAAGCAATTTAGGGAAGAAATCTTTCTACTAACTTACAGTTCCGGAACGATGGTGTCCTCGTACCAAGGAAGACAGGACAGGAAGCTGGCTGATCACACTTCACTCACAGGCAGGAAGCCAGCTCACTAAAGGTAGGGGTGAGGGGCTACAAGCTCTAAAAACCTTCCCTGCAGTGAAGTACTCACACCAGCAAGGCTGTACCTCCAGGCTCCACAGCCTTCCCAAAGAGGGCTGCCAACTGACCACCAAGTGTCCCGACACAGGGGTCTGGATCGGTGCCTGACAATTTACATTTGGGACGAGCCTCTAAGCCTCTGGTGCTGCCTGTCTGGGGGCTGCACTTTGGCTATCATCACCCTGCAGACATGTTTCCCATGAGGTATCCTTTCTTTCTATACCCTGACATCTTTTCATGCCGCTTGATTTCTGGCAGGAGTTAACCACTGTGGAAGTTGTTCTCAAATACTTCCTTTCATACCCAGTGTTTTCTCTAGTTTCTAACTGCAGCCTGCATACCTCTTGTATTTTGATACTTTATTCACAAATATCAGTTTAAACATCTTGTTTGTAGGGGGGAAAACCTGTTAGATGTTACCTACTGTTCAGGGAGACTGTACGCATTAACTGAAGTGCGAGTGCATAGTGGGAATAAATTTGAGTCGTGTTCTCATCCGTGTGTGCCTGACCCCACCCTTCTTATGAGCTTGTTGGGAGGAGGGAGCTATGAACCTAATGATCACTGAACATAACAGTAAAACGTAATTCGGGGGCTGGAGAGGCAGCTCAACTCCTAAAGTACTTGCAATGCAAGCATAAGGAATTGAATTGAATTTTCTCTAAATCCTGGGAACAATGGTACATGCTCTGTATTCTCAACACTGGGAAGGTAGAAACATTAGCATCCCTGAGTCTTGCTAGCCATCCAACCCAGACTAATCAGTGAGCCCCAGGTCCCAGTGAAGGACTTTATCTCTAAAATCAAAGTGGTCAGCTTCTGATGAATGACACTTGAAGTTGACCTCTGGCTTCCAAATACACACACAGACATACATACAGACAGGCACACACACACACACACACACACACACACACACACACAGGCGCACGCACACATACACACACATAGATATACACATATACATACACCAACACATGTGAGTGTCGACACACGCCCCTCGCATGTAAAGACTGGTGTTTGAAAGAATTGATGCTGGTAGAGTTGGATAGACAGCAATTCTTTTGTAAAGCCATTGGGATATGATCATGGATGCATAAGACTTTCCATGGCCCATAGCCACTAACCAACGTGATTCTGAGGAGCAATGATAAGTTCTGAAAGTCCTTTTAGATTTCACAGCCAGAACTCCTGAGTCTCGGAGAAACTCCCAAAGGTCACATTTATCCCCCAAACTGTAATCCTCTGAGCCCACCGGCTTCACACACAGCAAGAGAAAAGTTGAGATTCTCTGCAGAGGCCACCACAGCCATGCCATGGCTTCCAGGCAGCAAGCCATCTGCAGAGTGTCTAGAAAGGCAAGTGCATGCCACCCTCTTTCTGGTCTCTAATTTATTGGCAGAGAAATGTTAAGTAGACTTTTTAAAAAGAGTCACCATATTGCAGAAACAGATTGAAGGAAGACAGATTTGGGAAAATAGAATTTGCTGCAGGAGAGGATCCAGGCCTCGACAGGGAAGGCACGTGGGCTGTGTCGCAGCCCATCCGGCCTCCCTGGGGAAAGTAAAGTTCCTCTACTGCAAAGAACCTTGACACCAGTGACTTTTCTTGAGCAATTACTTTGAGAACAATCTTGTGATACATGCTTTTATAAAATTAATTCTTTCATTCCACTCTTGCCAAATGTGTGAGTTCATTATTATTGTAATTCTAATGTGATAAGTGGGGGAAAGGTTATCTTTCTAAGGTTGTTACATGGCGAATGAGTGATAGAGTCAGAGCTTGGAGCTGCGCTTTCTTAGACTTCAAGCTGAAGAAACACATAAAGGGAGGCCGAACTTTATCGTTCAGAGTGTCTCACTAGCACCATGCATGCCTTGTGTTGCATTTCCTTCAACTTTATGTGCTGAGGCAGTGGCTCAGGTATAATTGTTTTTGGAGACCATGTCTCTATAGAAGCCATTGAAAGAAACCTCATTGGTAGAGTTCTAATTCAATATGATTTTTGTAAGGACAATAAGGCTGTCCTTATTTTTAATGAGGAAGCAGGGTGGAGATCTATTTGGCTTATCTGTAGAGCACTTGCCTAATGTGTGCAAAGCCTGTGTTTGATTCTTAGCACAATGGACCGTAACAGCAACACAAATAGCAATAGCAATAAAAAGCAGCACCAACAAACCCAGCAAGAAACAAAAGACCCTACCAGTACCTGTGGCGAAGTGGCCACCTCAGAGCTCAGCATACACGTGGCCTTCTGCAACTCAAGAAAAGAGACCTCAGGAGGCCCCAAACCTGCTGACACCCTGATATTAGATTCGTAGATGGAGAGCTGAAAGAAGACATTTCTGTTGCTTCAGTCTGCCGGCGTCTGACATTTTGTGATGGCGTCCCCAGCAAAACATGCTGCCACCATGATGGGTGGGTTGCATTTACTCACCCTCGCCTTCGATCACGTGATATGCACACATGTGTGAGTAGACAATGGATGGCATTCGCATGTTCCAGTGTGCCTTCTTGTGCTTCACGAAGGCCCGGGAGAGGGTATCTCCAAAAGCATGAGGCGCATTGAGCAGAGTCTCACACATGAAGCAGAGGGAGCTGGGTGGGCCCTGTCTAAGTCAGGCAACACTCAGAAACAGTAGTCCACAACCGAGCTTCCTTCTCCCTGAAAAATGACCCTTATACCCACAGCAGTCCATAGTCATTGCCTTAATCTCATCTCCTGAGATTTGGGAGGGGGCGGCGGTTATGAGATAGCATGACTGGGAAAGTAGCTGACATAGTAACCAAGATCCAAAGAGGAAACTTCAGAGTTTTTGCAAAACCATTTCTCTCATCATTCACTGGCAGGCAGTGGCAGGGGCTAAGAATCAGGATGTAAGGAGGTTAACAAATGGTAACTCTAATAATTCTCCCAACAATTCTAATTAGGAGACTCTGTATTCCTTTAAATATGAATAAAGTAGAACTGTAATTTCAATTCTATCTCTTCCAGGACAATATCTATAGAAAGTCACTGGGTGATGATTGGGAGAGGGAAAAAAAATGGGTTAGGCTGTTTGATGTCCTGCATGCAATTCAAATAACTTGGCTCCTACACTGGCTAGCTGTGGGCTACCTGATATGAGCCATGCAAGCTCAGAGCGATAATCCCCTGGTTTTAATATGTAAACAATGGAGCTCATTCTGTTATCCAGCCCATCTGCCTTGGTCCAGTCTGCCTTGCTGTCTTGGTGTCAGAGATATGCAAAGGCAAGTGTAAGGCAGGGGATGTTGGAGAAACAAACCTACTGGGAGTTTCTACAGTACTTAGATTTGAACCATTAGAGAGCCCTGCAGGGTGGAGTGTCTTACTGTCTCAGTTGGGTGTGAAGTCTGAGGTGCTAACATATAGCTTGAGATGGAAGGGTGGGGTCCTAGTCCCCCAGATCTGGAAGAGCCTATCAAGACAGCACATAAGCTGTAGTTTGTCACTGACGTCAAGGGTAACAGTTCAGGTTCCAGGCTTTAAAATTGACCTGAGAAATACTTCTTAAACCTTTTTGAGCGTTTATTACTTTACCTGGAAAACAAGGGCAACAGTAATGCATCCCTTTTGGCGTAGAGCTTTCTGTAATTCTAAAATTCGTATTAAGTTGAAGGGTTGGATCACAGACGGGCACTTACAAGTGCAATCTCAGGATAGTTAATTTAGCTCACCTGCCTTTCTTGGAGACACGGGACTCTAAGCCCCAAAGCTAGGATGGGACAAGAGGAAAGCTTTACAAAACCTGTATGCTAAGAAGAGACAGCCCCACCTGCTCAGGTCTGAAGATGCACACACAGTCTGGGGGCCCCAGAGGGAAGGCTGGAAGGATGATTCCATATAGGAGATCATCCAGCAGCTGTCTTGTCACCATGCAGCGAGCTCTGCCTAGTTTCCATTGGTTGGTTAGATTAACCTGTTGCACAAGTGACAGGAAGCCGGCTGCCGACTGTCAGCACAAATCATCCTGAACAGCTTCTGGGAAAACATTTCCTTACATCAAGTCCTAATCTAACTTTCCCTTCTGGAACCACAAAGAATGAATCCCATGCTCTCTCCCTACGAAGACTTTAGTAGCTGATAGCAACCCTTATGTTTTCTGCTCTTGTGAAAAGCCCTCCTCCCCCGCCCACCATGTTCATTCAGGCTCTGTGGTCTGACAGCATCTCTGGATTCTTTTGGTGGTAAGAAAGTAGAAATCCAACATAAGCCTGGCTCCTCAATCTACCTGTGTGCTCATGCAGTCAACAGTTTTTACTGAGTAGGCTTAACGATGATGGGGCACAACGCGGTTTTTACTTGAGTACATTTAACAATGATGCAGCAACAAAGGAAGCAGAGTCTACCCACAGGGAGCTCGCACTCTGGTGAGGGCGTATGGATCCACTCAGCGGGTGGATACACAGTTCATATAACGAGTACTGTGGGGAAGATGGAGTAGGATGAAAAGTATAGAGGGTCTGGGAAGAATACCCGGGGCATGTGGGGTTGCCTGCTCTGCCTGAGAGGTCAGATGCAGGGGCCGATTCTGTTCCCCATCTTCTGCTGTCTGGCTTTGGGGTAGACAGGCTTCCCTCCTTGTGTGGTTCTGTGATTCTGTGGCCTCTCATTTATATTCAGAATAAGCTCTGGTTTCTCCTTCAAGCCAGCAGATGCTCTGAGCTTTTCCAGGATAGACCATCTCAGGTTCCTGTGCGCAGAATATCATTCACCGATGAGCTTCGTCCTTGATATATTGCCATGTGAGCTTTCAGAGGGATGTGGTCACTCCTGAAAATAGAAGTGTGTGTCACTCAAAGCGTTACCATAGGGTATGGACTGTGTGACGACATCTGTTGGGAAATTGTAGTACCCACTGTGGAGACTGGGGCAGGGCCATGCTCCATTTCTGTTTGCAACTGCTGGTCTTAAATAGGTCATACCTTAAGAGA